GAGAGGGAGAGAGGGAGAGAGGGAGAGAGGGAGAGAGGGAGAGAGGGAGAGAGGGAGAGAGGGAGAGAGGGAGAGAGGGAGAGAGGGAGAGAGGGAGAGAGATTTGCTGCTCATCTTCAAAACTCCAATAGTACTCAACTGCTGGGCCCGCATGACCTCTGTCCTACCCATTTTCTCCTGCTATAACAAAATGTCTGAGGCTGTTTAGTGTACGTGAAAGTTTCATCCAGCTGTGGCAAAGGTGTCAAAATCATACACTGGAAAAGAAAAAATAAATAAATAAAAAGCTTAGGCCAGTCAACAAATAGTGCTGGCAAAAGAGGACATCTACCTGTAGAAGAATGAAAGAATGAAGAATCTACATCTCTCACCCCATATAAAAGTCAGTTCAAAGTGGATCAAAGTCCTTAATTTAAAACTGAAACTTCCAGAATTTTTAAAGGAAATCATGAAGAATACACTTCAAGAAATAGGTATAGCAAGAACATTCTGGCAAGACACTGACAGCTCAGCTCAGGACAAAGCCTGAAGAATTAACAGCTGGATTGACAAGCAATGAAAAGCTTTCTACACATCAAAGGATGTTCTCAGGAACGCAAACAGCCCACAAAATGGGAGAAAACATTTGCCGACAATACCTCAGACAGGCAGATAATATACAGAATTTTAAAAATATTTTTAAAATGTCCACAATTTAAAAATTCCAGCAAAATTAGGCACTAAAAAGCCAAAGGGTTATTGAAATATTGAAATGAATAAATAGTTCTCAAAATAAGAAACATGGGTTTGGTGATGCATGACTTTCATCCCAGTACTCAGGAAGCAGAGCCAGGTGGATCTTTGTGAATTTGAGATCAGCCTGGTCTACACAGTGATTTCTAGACTAGGCAGAGCTGCATAGTGAGACCACATTTCAAATGAGAGTAAGAACATAAAGAGCCATTAAATATCTTTATAAGTGTCCAACATCCTTAGCCATCAAGAAAATGCAAATTAAAATGACTTTGACATTCTATCTTTTCCTAAGCAGGCAGGCTGTCATCAAGAGAATTGATGACAACAAATTTTTAAGGATGTGAACAAAGCAGGTCCCTTTCTCACCACTGGTAGAAGGAGAGGGAAAGTTGATACAGCCATTATAAAAAATCAGAATGAAAGTTTCTTTTCAAATGAAAAATAGAAGTAACTTATAACACAACTATATTGCTTCTGGGCACACACCAAAGGACTCTATGCTTTACCACAAAGATACCTGCACAACCATATTCATTGCTGTTCAATTCATAACAGTGAAGAACTGTAGCCAGCCTAGACACCCATCCACAGATGAATCAATAATATGCCCCACATATGCAATAGAAATTTATTCAGACATATTCAAAAACGAATAGATAGACTCTGAAAGTATTATATTAAGAGAGGTGACTCAGTCTTGGAAAGGAAGAAATCAACATGGTCTCTCTCATATGCTGAACCTAGCTTACAATATATATTTATATTTATTTATATTTATATTTATATTTAATGTGGGTATGAGTGTAGGTATAGACTATGAAACTAGAAAAAAAAAAACGACCATTGGAGGGAAAGTGAGATGTCAATCAAGAAGCTGAAGGAGAGAAAACAACATATGTTACAGGTAGAGAAGAGACTGGGGCAGAGGGTGTGGAAGGTGAATAGGGAAAGAGAATCAAAGGAATTTTGTTATGGTATTTCAACGTAATAATAATAGTTTGTATGCTAATTAACTATTAAAAAAAATAAAAATTTAGTGTCTTGAGCTCACAGTTTTGGAGGACAGGAATCCAGGCATCACTGTGATGGTTCCAGTGAGAGTCTTCCATACTGGTCACCTCATGGAGGAAAGTAGAGAGTCGAAGCCTATTCATGGAGAAAGGAGCACCAAGACAAGGTGGAGGGAGGGAGGGGCCACTTGCACTTTTATCACAACCCCTTTGTAAGAGACAACAAGGCCTCATTAAAACTAATCCCTTCTGATAAAACACTATGACCAAAACCAACCTAGTGGGGAGAAAAGGGTTTTTCGTCTTACAGTTTGTAGTCCATCCTCCAGTAGAGTATGTCAGGAACTCAAAGTTGGAACTTGGAGCCAGGGACAAACACTAAGACCATAGAGTGTTGGTTCTCAACTCTCCTAATGCTGAGACCCTAAAACAGTTCCTCATGCTGTGGAGACCCCAACCATATAATTATTTTTTAATCTCTTTATAATTTTGCTACTGTTGTGAATTGTAAATATTTGATCTCCAGGATATCTGATGGCAACCTCTGTGAAAAGATCATCTGACCCTGGGGTGTCACGACCCACAGATAGAGAACTACTGCCATAGAGGACTGCTGCTTACTAGATTGCTCTTCATAGCTTGCTTGGTCTGCTTTCTTAGTCAGTACACGAGCAGCTGTTCATGGTTGGAATTGCCCACAATGGGCTGCACCTCTCTCAAATTAATCATCAGTCATGAAAATACATCACAGGACTTCTCACAGTCTGACCCGGTTGAGGGGGTTTTCTCAATGGAGGTTTCCTCTTCTCAAATCTTTCTAGTTTGTGTCAAGTTGAGATAAAAACCAGCCAGCACAGTCCTTTATTAGACCACACCCTGAAGGGCTCCATTACCTCCCAACCATAGTGAGAAGATCCTTGTAAACTGAGTCAAAGCCACAGCCTGACTTCCAAGCCACCTCCGTTGCACAGCAGATTCACTGGAAAGCCTTTTTGAAAAATCTAATGCCAGGATTCTAGATATTCTGACAACGACATAGGTATGTTCAGTCCATGCTCTTACTGTACCAAAACACCAGAGGTGACCCACCTTAAGAAAGAAAATTTGGGGAGGGGGTCTCATATGCCAACAGGGAGATGTTCTATTTGTGGCTGAGTGTAAAGAAAGTAAGGGAAAGACTGTGATTCCAAAATTCCCCTTCAGGACATAGTTCCAAAGATCAAAAGACCACTCGCAAGGTCTAGCTGTCTCTCAGTAGTATTATACTGGGTACCAGTTGTAACACATGAGCCTCAAGCGGGGACTTAGTCAAACTGCAGCAATCAATGTAAAGTTAACACTAATGCTAACGCTAACATGCAGCCAAGGTAGGAAGCCACAGTGAGAGAGACTTCTTCCTTAGGATACGGAGTCTGTTGGAAAGCATCCAGAGTTTAACCCTGTCTGTACACAGGGGTCCTAGAGTCCATTCAGTACACGCTATGAAAGCTGCCCCATGCCCAGATGCAGCGTGGACACGAGGACTTTGGAAAGCTTCCCAGGTTGCCCTCAGAGCTTCCAAGCCAAGCACCCTGAACTAAATACTGTGCCCCCAAACATGACTGAAATCAGAATTGTCTGGAGCCTTTTAAAGGAAAGAAAGTGAAAGGGAGAAGGAGGGTTTGTGGGAGCAGCTTCAGAACTTCATCCTAGGCCTGCTGACTCAGCAATAGGGGTAGGGGCTCCACACTGTGAGGCTGTGGCACCAAACAACAGTTCCCATGTGGGGCTCTGAGAGCTGACAGGGGCCCATGTTATTCTTATTAGTAAGGACTAGAGAGCTCCACATTAAAAATATTTAGCACAGAAAACAAGCATCTCTGAGAGAGAGGAGGGGAAGAGGAGGGGAGAGAGAACAAGGACTCCGTTCATACAGCAAGAGGGAATATTAGGAAAGATGCTTAAGGCACAGCTTCTGGACTCCAAAGTACAGCAAGGTCAAACCTCAAGGTCAAACTGCACAGAGCGTTTCCCAAAGAACCGCCCTCCTGAGATGGGCTGGAAGGATACTTATTTTCTTTTTTAAAAGAACATTTTATATTTGTTCTTTGAGGGTCTGCATTTGATAATATTCACCCACAAAGCATTCGATAATATTCACCCACTCCCCTAACTCTTCACTGATCCCCTTTCCCTTCTCTACCTACCCTATTTTGTGTCTTACTTGATTGTTTATTTTTAATCCTTCAAGATCAATTTGTACTGCGCAAATATTCTCGGATGTGTGGTCTTCCGCTGGAGAGTGGTTGATTTGCCCTGGGTATACTGTTAAATTGAAACGCCTCTCCCTCTCCCAGTGGCTGACATTCTTAGCTGCAGAGCTCAGAGCATTCGCCTGGCTGTTATCCACTCCCTAAGTCCACACCAGGTAAGGGTCCTTCACTGAAATCTTCCACCAGGCTTCCAGGTTTGGAACCACAATCACATAGTAAGGACTCAAACTGGGATTGTCCTGGAATATTTTGTCAACTGAAATGGACATCAGTAAGAATCTTAGAAGAGTAGTGTCTTAGTTAGGATTTCTATTCCTGCAAAAATCATGACCAAGAAGCAAGTTTGGGAGAAAATGGTTTATTCAGCTTACACTTTCACACCAAAGGAAGTCAGGACAGGTACTCACGCAGGGCAGGAACTTGGAAGCAGGAGCAGATGCAGAGGCCATAGAAGAATGTTTCTTACTGGCTTGCTTCCCCTGGCTTGCTCAACTTGCCTTCTTATAGAACCCACGACTACTAGCCCAGTGATGGCCCCATCCACATGGAGGAGCCCCCCCCCCCCCGTTGATCACTAATTGAGAAGATGCCTTACAGCTGGATCTCATGGAGGCATTTCCTCAAGGGAGGCTCATTTCTCTGTGGTAACTCCAGCTCGTGTCAAGTTGACACACAAAACCAGCCAGTACCAAGTAGGCACAAATGAGCTCAGGCTGGACTCCTGGGAGGGGACTGGAGCCAGCACCTGGGGCCTGAGGCTGCAGGACAAATCCCCTACCCTGTGGCTCCCTGAGTCTCTGATTTAATATCCCCAGTGAGCCAGAACACAGTGACATGGCCCAAGATCCAGATGCTTCCAGAAGCTCCCCTGTTAGGTCTCCTCATGGGAAAGAATAGAGCTGACTGGTCACTGGTTTCTTCTCTGAGAGTAGCTTTGACTCCTTCGAGCACAGCTGAGCTATGCTCTCTGGACCTGTCTGGTCTCCAACCCTAGTAAGCAAAACAGGTCAATCTAGAATCTGACTTTTCTCACAGTCTGATGCCTTCCCACCTTCTTGCAAGAATGGCTCCATAACCTGAGATCTGTGGCCCAGCCCAGACAAAGAGATCCAGGGTGTGCATGGGGACAGGCTCCAGGGTTGTTCAGACACATTGAATTCAGATGATCGTTTTGTGTAGGAGTATCAGCAAGAACTCCACAAACAGGGGTGCCTGTCTGCCTCAACGTCTCAATGACTGTTGGTGTTTGTGTGTGTGTGTATGTGTGTGTGTGTGTGTGTGCGCGCACATGGATACTGTTTAACTGCCCATCTTAAATGTGTGTGTTCTTAAGGTTTTACATACCTGAATCTTCACTACAAGTGGGAGGATTGAAAACTCAGGGTAGCCTGGTCTATCAGAGACTCCAAACAGCATAGGAAGGTGATTGAGAATACCCCTCTTCCTGAGACCCTCCACATAGCTTCCATAAGTGAACCCCTAAAGACAGAAATACCTGATGATAAGGTTTGCCCACTGGCTAGAACACTGATGCGAAGCAGTGTGCTTTCTGTGGCTTTTGTGTGAATGACAGCATAGAGAGGCCACCTGGAGGAGCCCACCCACCAAAGAACTCCGGTAAGTCTAAGCCAGTCCACAAAGACTGTCAAGGAAGCTGACAGTTCCTACTCTTCCACTCTCTCTCATTTTAAGAATTCCACTCTGGTCTGCTTTAAAATTCAAACTCTGATCAACTTGAAAGAGTCCCTCCCTCAAACCAGCACATCTTATCACAAACCAGAGACATTAAAACAATTCTTTTTTGTACTTCTGCTACATCTCAGGAAATATCAGAATACAGTTTTCTGAGCGTGGGCTGGCAGATCTGGGCCAGGAGTGTATGATGGGCCAGTTATTTCCTTTTCCTTCTCATCTCAGGAATAAATAATCAGTTTGAGAGAGCTAGGAGGAGGAGTGAATGCAAGCATGAGGATTTTCAGAGTTCTTAAGAATCTTGCCTTGTTTTCTTGTTTTTCCCATCATCTTAAAAGGTGGCAAGGAATGTCACTACTCTCAGGTCTGTGATTGGAAGGGCTGCACTCTGTCAGAGCTGCCCTCTGCCTCTCTGCCCCTCCCTTTCCCCTCTCCCCTCCCCTCCCTCTTCACTCCCCTCTCCTTCTCCCCTCCCCCTCCCCCCTCTTCACTCCCCTCCCCTTTCCCTCCCCCTTGACTCCCCTCCCCTCCCCATCCCCATCCCCTTTACTCTCTTCCCTCTGTCTTCCCCATCCTTTCTCCCTGCCCTCCCCCTCCCCTCCCCCAGAAAAGTGACAAGGAAAAATGGCCAGAGCAGTTAACAAATTTTTAGACTGTTCCCAGTTAAGAGACGGGATAGCCAAAGGCAGAAATATTTTTGTTTCTGGTTAAATTCTCATAAAAAGGACCCTGCGAAGTTTCTGACATGAAAACAAAGCACACATTCTTTTTTCAAACCTTTCCTCAAATGTCAAAATTTCGGAATGACACCTCACTCCATGGGTACCAGCTGCAGTGACTTAAGCCGAAGGGTCTCTCAGCTCCGTGAACTAGTGTTTCCGCTAAAGCTTTGTTAGCTGATCTAACGGCAATGACTTTCCAATAGACATGCCCAGAATCATTGATCACTGTGTCCTCTTCTTGTTTGCATTGGAACACTGTTCAATTTACACCAATTAAAGAATGCTTGGCTTGGATATTGAAGAATAATTAAGGCATGCAAATTCCCCAAAGGCTTCTAAAAATGACATCTGACTGGAATGTTGATCAGGGCATGAAAGCAGCATTAGTATTTAAATAGTCTGACTGATATACAAAATCATTACACCATCTCTCCAGGAAGAGTGACGTTGGGTCAATGTAGGTACTTGCC